GGTTATAATCATTGAATGAGTTCTGAAATACTTTAGGTGTTTCAGACTTTTCTTTGAGGAGATAAACCCAACAAACTCTAGTATGGTCATCAATAAAAGTTATGAACCATCTAGCTCCCGTAATATTTTTCACTCGACAAGCTCCCCATAGGCCACTATGAATCAAGGAGAAATGTTGGGATTGATTGTAAGGTTTCAAAAAATAAGGTATACGAGTACGCTTTGAAAGTTGGCAGATTTCAAACTTTAGGGAATTTGGATTTTTATTTCGAAATAACAGAGGAAACAAATTCTTCAGATACATGAAATTTGGATGTCCTAACCTACAATGCCACATTATAATTATGTCCTCGTGCGAAACAGATAGAGCCAATCTTCCTTCCTCGTGTGAAGCAGATAGAGCCAATCTTCCTTGACTGTTTTATTGTCTTTATTCCATATATAGAGTCCATCATCAACCTTAGCGGTGTCAATCATCTTCCCCAATTTTTGTTTATGTACAATACAACCAAGAGCAGAAAATTCAACAAGAGCAACTTTTATCTTCAATAAGTTTACTCACTGACAGTAAATTGTAGGATACATTTGAGATATGTAAGACATTTTCTAGAGAGAAATTTTCAGTGAGTTGAATTGCCCCAGTTCCAACAACCGACGAGTATGAACCATCATATATTCGAATCCGAGATTGGTTGTAACAGGGGGTGTAGTTGCGGAACTGGGATGAGTTACATGTCATATGGTCTGAGGCACCTGAATCCAGGATCCAAGAAGAATGATTACTGGACTCAGAAATAATATTAAAGACGATCTTTGAATGGCCAAGGATCCATGATCAGTGGAGGCTTCGAGTTGCGATTTGGTTAGGCGAACGTCCATGGTATTTTCAGCAGTGAATGAAGTGTTGGAGGAAAATAGAGCCTTGTTATCCCTCTTATTTTTTGAATACTCCTGTTTTGATCATCATGATTTATTTTATTAATATTTATGTATGATGTGACATTTATTAGTATTATTATTTTATTAATATATGATTAAAATCATATTAATAAAATTAAAATTATAAAAAAATATTGAAAAAAAATTCTCAAATTATAATTAAATTAAAAAATATTCCCTCTGCTTTATATATTTTCAAATCTCCACTCTCCTCATTTATCCTCTCATTTCACTTTTCTTCATTTTCAACCAAAGATTTCTTTTTTTTCCTTTCATTACATGGTCAAGTAGCTCATCCCCATTTTTTCAATTTTTTTACAAGTTCAATCCATGTTCACTGAATCTGGTAATGAAAGAAAAAAAAAAAGAAATCTTTGGTTGAAAATAAAAAATATCACATCATATATAAATATTAATAAAATAAATCATGATGATTAAAATAGGAGCAATTCAAAAGTTAAGTGATTAAATTGAAAACATTTTTCATCCAGCTCAGTTGGTAGAGCACAAGTTTCTTAACCTTGAGGTCGTGGGATCGAGTCTCACGGAGGGCATTTCATAATTTGGAGGTCTCCCACGGAAGTTGCCCTCAACCTGGCGTTGGGGGCAGCCTACTATCTTACCTCCCCCTTACCCCATTACATATGGGAATAAGGGTCAACTAATTTTTTTTCTTGAGTTAGAAGGCCAAATTGAGGAAAAAAAAGATTTGATCTGCTTAACGTGCTACATCAACACAAAGTAACGGCCCCGTCGATCAACGATGAAAAATGTTGGTCAAAGGATCACATTAAGTCTTTTTTCTAAATTGGAAGGCCACATTGAGTGATAAAAATAGAGGGTCACATTGGATTTTTTGAAAAAAGTGGAGGACCTCAAGTACCATTTTACCAAAGTAAATTGAGCATAATGTGAACTTTGAAGTTTAAACCCTAAAACTTAAGAAATTTAAAACTTTAAATAAATAAATATAAATACGTATTAAAAAATTAAAATAACATTAACATTTCATTGATAAACAAACAGATACATAACTTTGTATGTAACAACCCGAAGAAAAAAAATATTTAAATCGGTGTAATTTGGTGAAATTTAGTGACTAAATTAAAATTTATGAAAATTTATAGGTCATATTAGAAGTGAAGGAAATTCAGTGACCAATCTCCCAATTTTGCCAATGAGTGTCGGCAGCTTATAATCATAAATAAGTGCAATGTGTTTTTTTGGTTTCATACCAAAAACAATTGCAAAGCTTTACTCTCCCGCATCCCCTCCTTTCAAGTCCGATCCCGACGCCGTTCGATATTCGATCGTCAAATTGAAACCACCGTCGTGTTTATCTTCGACCCGTGATCAAAACCCAGTAAACCAATTATAGCGAAACGCTGCCAAACGACATGAATTTTGAGTCAAAGTATCAACGTTTTTTTAGCACCACCGCCGGGAAAATCTTAAATTAATCTTCGATCGTTGATCGGTTTTTGACACCTCCCGCACCATCGTGTTCCTGGTGTCGTTCCGAGTCCGACGGTGTCGTCCTTGTCTCCGTAGGCGGCGGCGCGTGTGGGAGGTGGAGCGGTCAAAAATTCGGCCAAGTTGAAATCGAGCTCTCCATCGTTCAAAAATTTGAACCGAGGTTGGTAAGTGACTCAAAATCGCTTAAAATAATTTTTAGAAATTTTTTCAGGAAATTTTGGAGTCCGGAAGAGCCTTCACGCGCCCCCACGCGCCGCCCCTACGCGTGAGGGAATTCCGAATCTGCTGGGTGATGTTGTGACCGATCTGAACCGGTTTGATCGGTCTGAACCGGATTGATCGGTCTGAACCTGATTGATCGGTTTGACCCGACCCGTTGACCAACCCGACCCGGATTGATGGTTTATGGAATATGATTGATATACGATTGGTTTTCATTGGTATATGATAATATTGATTATGAAATTATGGAAATTATGCTTACTGCATAAATAGTATTTTTGGAAATACTGATTTTGGGTTGGATTGCATTACGGAGGTACAGCTCTGATCAAGCTGGTAAATCTTATGGACCTAATATGACTCTTGGTAGGCCCAGGGGCCTCAAGATGCTTCATTAGGTTGGCTCCTTCTGTTGTGTGCTTAGGGTAAGCCCTACGGATTTACAGACTTAAGGATACATGCCCGAAAGCCTATTCTTAGGTTGTCTTCCTTTTTGCTGAGTGCTTAAGGTAAGCCCTATTGACGCAGTTCTGGGGAATTACAGATGGTGTACAAGAGAAGGGTTTTAAATTACGAGTTTCAAATAAACTTCATTATGGTTTGATGATGAATTTCTGAACTATTACTCATTTACTGTATCTACAATGATTTTATTGTACTATTGGGATACACTGAGCCTAGCTCACTTTTCGAAAATGTTTTCCCCTTTCAGATACAGTTGGTTAGATTCACCTGATTGAGCACTTGGAGGATCAACATATCTCTTGAAGTATATTGTATTGTAATGTTTTATCTTTTAAGTTGACACTATTTTGGTAACATGAGCCTTATTTTAAAGTATTGAATTTTATAATGATTACTCCTTTGCTATTTATATTTGGTTTATCGTAAATTTGGATTTTTTAAGACATGTTTAAATTAATTCGTTTTTTCTTTATCATTATATTTATGAGTTGTATTTTTATAGTATAAAATATTATAATTTCATAAACGTTATTTATAATGTGATTTTATTATAATTGAATAATGGTTTCGAAACAATATCTTTAAGAATCATGAATGTGATTCACTAGACTTAGTCGAAACACATAGACCGGGTCTAGGGGGTTACATTTTATTGGTATCAGAGCTTTTGGTTTTTAAACCTCAGACTGTGTATGAGTCCAACTTGAAAATATGGTTTTGAAATATTTTACGAAACCTGTTGCTAAGGCCATGTCTCAAAGTTTTTACGATTTTAATTGTGTTTGAGACTCCAAGTGCTTATCTAACCCTAAGTTTTACCATCTGTAGTAAACTAGAGATCTACCAAAATGAGTGCTAGACGTGGACGTCGAACTAGCCGTGGACGAGGTCGAATGGCTATATTTGTGGACCCAATCGATGAGATTCGAGTAGATCCCCTACCTCCGACAGGTGATCCTGCTCCTGCGACCCCGACGAATTTGCCTTCTGCCGCTGGTATTGGAATGACTACACCGATCATAGGAGCGACTGATATTGAGCCTGATTCTACCAGAGTTGCACCTGATGAGAATTTTGGTAGACAATTTCTACAGTTGATTCAGGGAGCGGTCAGAGCTACTGGTGTTGGATCAGATGTGCCTATTTCACATACTCCGATTGCTAATGGAGTCAGAACTTTTGGAGGACAGATTGGTGGACCTCCTACTGAAGTGGAAGATTGGCTCCAGGATACAGAAAAAAGCATGGATCAGTTAGGTTTGGATCCAACTAAGAGATATCTGGGTGCAGTGGCGATGTTAGATGGCAATGCCCACACCTGGTGGGAGTCAGTAGTCAGTAGTGTTTCGGTTGATCGTCTGACTTGGTATTTCTTTAAGGAATGCTTTAGGAGCTGTTTTCTGGGAGAGCGTTACTTAGCTCAGAGACGACAGTAGTTCCAGGACCTGGTACAGGGAGACATGACCATGTATGAGTATGAGATCGAGTTCTTGAAGCTGCTAATGTATGGATTTAGTATGGTACCTACTGAGAGAGATCGATGCCGTAAATTTACTCTTGGACTCAGATATGAGCTACGTTGGCAGGTTGTTACCCATCAAGATGAGATTTTTGATGTGCTGGTGGGCAGAGCGAAGGATGCTGAGGAGGTAGAGACCTTAGCTCCAGCAAGATATCGTGTTGATCGAGAGCGGCATGGGAAATTTTCTGGCCCAAACGAGTTCTCTGCACGTCCTGGAAAGAAGACTTGTACTTCAGGTCCTTTGAGAAGCAATATCAGTTCTAGGCCTGCAGTATCTTCACCTTAAGTTGTTAGTAGAGGTGGTTCCTCGTCGTTTTATTATGGCCCCCTATATGAGTATTGTGGTATTCGACACAGAGGTGAATGTCGTAAGAAGATGGGACTTTGTTACCAGTGTGGATCCAGTGGTCATTTCCGGAGGGATTGCCCACAGTTAGTTTCATCTGAGAGGACAACTAACCAGACTTCTGTACGTTCCCAGGCATCAGTTCAGACTCCAGCCAAAGGTCGAAGTCAGGGAAGACCTTCCGGATCAGCATCCAGAACAGATAGTAGAGCCCGACCTCAGCAGAATAGAGAGCCAATTAGTTCTGAGGCAAGACAGTCAGCGTTGGTTTATGCCACTAGACGTCGGGATGACAGAGATGAGCCCGAGGTTATTACAAGTACATTTACTATTTATTCTATTCCATACTTTGCATTACTGGACAATGGCTCCACCCACTCCTATGTATCGAGTTCAGTATCTCGAAACCTTCAGATTCCGATCGAGAACACTGATAATACTGTTACGGTTACAAGTCCAGTAGGACAGGCAGTATTAGTGAATAAAGTATTTTGGTGTTGTCCTCTGGAGGTTCAGGGAGAAATTTTTCTCGCTGATCTTATGGAACTTCCTTTAGAGGAGTTCGATCTAATTCTTGGGATGAATTGGTTGAATAAACACAAGGTAAATCTGGATTGCGAATACAAGCGAGCTAATTTGAAGACTTCAGATGGTCGGATTGTTGTGTTAAATTGTGAACGGCGTGGCTATCTCTCCAATATTGTTTTAGCTATTGAAATTGATCGTATGATCAGGAAGGGGTATGAGACTTTCATTGCCTATATTCTGAACACTAAAGGTTCATTGTCCACGATCGAGGAGATTCGTACAGTTAGCGAGTTTTCTGATATTTTTTCGGAGGAGCTGCCTGGGTTACCTCCTGATAGAGAGGTAGAGTTCGAGATTGAGACTTATCCGGGATCTTCACCTATTTCTATGGCACCTTATCGCATGGCTCCAAAGGAACTTAAGGAGTTGAAGGTCCAATTGCAAGAATTATTCGATCGAGGATTTATTCAGCATAGTACCTCACCCTGGGGAGCTCCAGTTTTGTTTGTGAAAAAGAAGGATGAGTCGCTAAGGCTATGTATTGACTATCGGAAGTTGAACAAGATGACGATCAAGAATAAGTACCCATTACCCAGGATTGACGACTTATTTGATCAGTTGTGAGGAGCTATTGTATTCTCTAAGATTGATCTTCGTTCGGGGTATTATCTATTGAAAGTTAAGGGGTCCGATGTTGCAAAAACAGCCATTCGCACTAGATATGGTCATTATTAATTCTTAGTAATGCCTTTTGGTTTGACGAACGCTCCCACAGCTTTTATGGATTTGATGAATCGTGTGTTCTGGCCATATTTGGATCAATTTGTGGTTGTCTTTATTGATGATATTCTGGTATATTCTCGGACGGAAGCAGAGCATGATGAGCATTTGAAGATCGTTCTGTGAACCTTGAGAGAGCATCGTCTATATGCCAAACTAAGCAAGTGTGAGTTTTGGCTTCAAGAAGTGTCATTTTTGGGGCACATTATTTCTGCACGAGGTATTCAGGTCGATCTAAGCAAGATCGAGGCTATTATGAATTGGAAACGACCCAAGAACGTCTCTGAGATCCGTAGTTTCTTAGGCTTGGCTGGATATTATCGACGTTTTGTCGAGGGTTTCTCGATCATTGCTTCTCCTCTGACAAAGATGTTAAGGAAGAACGTGTCGTTTGATTGGTGAGAGGCACAACAGGAGAGCTTTGAGAAATTAAAGGCGGTTTTAACTCACGCACCAGTGTTGATTCAACCAGAGTCCGGGAAGGATTTTACAGTATATAGTGATGCTTCACATTCAGGACTTGGTTGTGTTCTAATGCAGGAGGCTAAGGTAGTGGCTTATGCGTCACGTCAACTGTGACCGCATGAGTGTAATTATCCTACTCATGATTTGGAGTTAGCAGCAGTGATTTTTGCCTTAAAGATTTGGAGACACTTCTTTATGGAGAGAAGTGTTACATTTTCACTGATCATAAGAGCTTAAAGTATCTTCTGACCCAGAAGGAGCTTAATTTGAGACAACGGCGTTGGCTAGAGCTTCTAAAGGATTATGATTATGTGATTGATTATCACCCTGGTAAAGCTAACATTATGGCGGATGCTTTGAGTCGAAAGGCGGTATCGGAGTTGAGGTCTTTAATGGCCAAGATGAATTTATTGATGATGGCACTCTGTTAGCAGAATTGCAAGTTAAACCGACTTTGGTTGATGAGATTAAGGCTAAACAATCTCTAGATAGCTCATTGTTTTCCATCTTTGAGCAAGTAGAGCAGGGGACAAGCTCAGATTACGCCCTTGATCAGGATGAAGTTTTATGCTTTAAGGGTTGATATTGTGTACTTGATGATGCTAAGTTTAGGCAGATTATTCTTAATGAGGCTCACAGTAGTCCATATGCTATACACCCCGATAGAGATAAGATGTACCGGAATTTGGGGGAGAGGTATCATTGGGTCGGCATGAAGAAGAACATCTCGGATTTTGTGGATAGGTGTTTGACTTGTCAGCAAGTTAAAGCAGAGCATCAACATCCATCAGGTTTGTTACAGCCTATCAAGATTCCTGAATGGAAATGGGAGTGTATTACTATGGATTTTGTTACTGGCTTACCAATGACTCATTCGAAAAAGGATTCAGTTTGGGTGATTGTTGACAGACTTACAAAGTCAGCTCACTTCATTCCTGTGCGGGTAAATTATACTTTGGACAAGCTGGCGAGATTGTATATTTCAGAGATTGTCAGATTGCATGGTGTTCCATTGTCTATTATTTCTGATCGAGATCCGAGTTTTACTTCGAGATTTTGGAAAGCGCTACATACGGCTTTGGGAACAAGATTGGATTATATTACATCCTTTCACCCACAAACTGATTGTCAATCTGAGAGAGCAATTCAGATTCTGGAGGATATGTTGCGGGGTTGCGTAATTGATTTTCATGGTAGCTGGGAGAACTTTTTGTCGTTGGCTGAATTTGCTTACAATAACAGTTATCAGACCATTATTTGTATGGCACCATACGAAGCACTCTTCGATATGTTGGACTGAGTTGCGTGACCGGAAGAATTTGGGACCTGAGTTAGTACGCGAGACGGAGGATACAGTCAGATTGATTCGTGACCGTTTGAAAGAAGTATTTGATAGATATAAGTCTTATGCAGATCAAAGGAGGAAAGATATTTAGTTTGAAGTTGGAGATCAGGTCTTTTTAAAAGTATCACCCTGGAAGAAAGTATTGAGATTCGGGCGTAAGGGTAAATTGAGTCCAAGATTTATTGGACCATTTCGCATTTTGAAGAGGATAGGACCTGTCGCATATTAGCTTGAGTTGCCTCCCCAGCTCAGTCGTATTCATGATGTCTTTCATGTATCAATGTTGAGGCGATATCGTCCAGATCCAGGTCACATCATTCAGGTTGAAGAGGTAGAGTTGAGACCTGATTTGTCATATGAGGAGGAGCCCATTCAGATCTTAGAAGTGATGAGAGAGTTCTTCGGAATAGGCGTATTCCAATTGTAAAAGTTCAATGGAGTAACTGAGGCCCCCTCTGAAGCTACTTGGGAGACATTGGAGTCAATGGAGGCTCAATTTCCTCAACTATTCTCATAAGGTAAATTTCGAGGACGATTTTTTTTGAAGAGGGGGAGAATTGTAACAACCCCAAAAAAATATTTAAATCGGTATAATTTGGTGAAATTTAGTGACTAAATTAAAATTTATGAAAATTTATAGGTCATATTAGAAGTGAAGGAAATTCAGGGACCAATCCCCTAATTTTGCCAATTAGTGTCGGGAGCTTATAATCATAAATACGTGCAATGTGTTTTTCTGGTTTCATACCAGAAATAATTACAAAGTATCAACGTCGTGATTGAAACCACCGTCGTGTTTATCTTCGACCCGTGATCAAAACCCAGTAAACCAATTATAGCGAAACGCTGCCAAACGACGTGAATTTTGAGTCAAAGTATCAAAGTTTTTTTAGCACCACCGTCGGGAAAATCTTAAATTCATCTCCGATCGTTGATCGATTTTCGACATCTCCCGCACCATCGTGTTTCGGGTGTCGTTCCGAGTCCGACGGTGTTGTCCTTGTCTCAGTAAGCGTCGGCGCGTGTACGAGGTGAAGCGGTCAAAGATTCGGCCGAGTTGAAATTGAGCTCTCCGCCATTCAAAAATTTGAACCGAGGTTGGTAAGTGACTCATAATCGCTTAAAATAATTTTTAGAAATTTTTTCAGGAATTTTTGGAGTCCGGAAGAGCCTTCACGCGCCGCCCCTGCGCGTGGGGGAGTTTCGAATCTGCTGGGTGATGTTGTAACCGGTTTGATCGGTCCAAATCGGTCTGAACCGGTTTGACCGGTCTGAACCGGGTTGACCGGTCTGACTCGACCCATTGACCCGACCCGACCCGGTGACATTCTGGAAAATATTTTAAAAAATGTGACATTTTGAGAATTATTTTAAAAAAAATGACATTCTGAGAAATATTTAAAAAAAAGTGACATTTTGGGAATTATTTTGAAAAAAAAGTGACAATCTAGGAAATATTTAGAAAAATGTGACATTCTGGGAATTATTTTGAAAAGGTGACATTTTGGGAATTTTCGAATGTGGACTATTGAACCCTTTGACCATAACTTTGACCGGCTTTAATCGGCTATTAAACAACCTTTGATTTTATTCGAGTATACATATTCTGACATTTTTCGACGTGCCGAATCCGTTTCCGAAGTTCATTTTGCCAAATTCGAACCCGAAGATCTCCAAATCATCATTCAAACCCGTTGACTTTGATTTTGACCAAGAATTTGAATTTTCGAAAAGTCATACTTAAGAATTTGATAGTCAAACCCGGAAAATGCTTATATACTTAAGAATTTTAGCTTTGATCAATTAAGTAAGACTTGGGGTTAATAAATTATTATTGTTTGAAGGTACAAGAGACTCTCCGGATCGTTCGACAGCTCAACCCAGCTCTTCTAGATCAGTTAAACCACGTGTGCCAGTATTCACCCGTAAGACCCGTAAATTTTATGATTTCAGAAATTAATTTTGTTACCCATTAGTAATATAGTGTTATTATGGATTAGGTTCGAAAACAGTAACAGAGCGTGGCGAGACCAGTAATCACTAAATATACTATTTGAACCTATTGTCGATGTGTGTTTCCTGTGTACTACTTGATTGTTTTATATATTTTGAAATATGGTATATTGAAAGCTATGGTTTAATGTTTTATTAATCCAGCTATTTATTGGTGATGGTTTATGGAATATGATTGATATACGATTGGTTTTCATTGGTATATGATAATATTGATTATGAAATTATGGAAATTATGCTTACTGCATAAATAATATTTTTGGAAATACTGATTTTGGGTTGGATTGCATTACGGAGGTACAACTCTGATCAAGCTAGTAAATCTTATGGACCTAATATGACTCTTGGTAGGCCCACGGGCCTCAAGATGCTTCATTAAGTTGGCTCCCTTTGTTGTGTGCTTAGGGTAAGCCCTACGGACTTAAGGATACAGGCCCGAAAGCCTATTCTTAGGTTGGCTTCCTTTTTGCTAAGTGCTTAAGGTAAGCCCTATAGACGCAGTTCTGGGGAATTGCGGATGGTGTACAAGAGAAGGGTTTTAAATTACGAGTTTCAAAAGTTAAACTTCATTATGGTTTGATGATGAATTTCTGAACTATTACTCATTTACTGTATCTACTATGATTTTATTATACTATTGGGACACACTGAGCCTAGCTCACTTTTCGAAAATGTTTTCCCCTTTCAGATACGGTTGGTTAAATTCACCTGATTGAGCACTTGAAAGATCAACATATCTTTTGAAGTATATCGTATTGTAATGTTTTATCTTTTAAGTTGACACTATTTTAGTAACATATGCCTTATTTTAAAGTATTGGATTTTATAATGATTACTCATTTGATATTTATATTTGGTTTATCGTAAATTTGGATTTTTAAGACATGTTTAAATTAATTTATTTTTTCTTTATCATTATATTTATGAGTTGTATTTTTATAGTATAAAATATTATAATTTCATAAACGTTATTTATAATGTGATTTTATTATGATTGAATAATGGTTTCGAAACAATATCTTTAAAAATCATGAATGTGATTTATTAAACTTAGTCGAAACGTATAGATCGGGTCTAAGGGTTAAATGAAGAAAAAAAGAAAAACGAGTGAAAGTGAGATTCATTAAAGAAGGAAAACCAGCAAGTAGCTCGTAGCAGCACTTCAACATCCAATCAAGACTCAAGAGTATTCAAGATTTTCAATTTTGCTTCTCTTTGTAAATCTCTATTTCCTCTTTCATTTCTTTGTTCGTCCGATCTGGAAACGGAACCGCTTTCCTTTTCATTTACTCATTGCATTATTTCACTTCAATTTGTTCTAATTTTGCAGTTTTCCATCTAGGTTGTTGTTATCTTTGCCTGTTGTTGGTTTTTGGGTTTTTGCTATATTCTGCCAATATATTGTCCAGACCCTTTCCAGCCCATAGTCTTAAGCTAAGGTGATGTTGTTTTTCGGCTCTCAGATTTGTTTTATTTTGATGGAAAACACAAGTAAATAGAGATTTGCTTTATTTATTACCATATAAATCCACATATTATTCGTGCAATAATTTCTTCCATTTCCCATTGTAACGTGCCTAATCGCGGTTTGGGGCTTGAATTCCATAATAGAGTATGATATTTCTTTGTGGGTGTATATGGACCGACAGTCTTTTGCTCTAGTAGCTAGCTTTCGGAGTGTGATTCTCCTAAGGTTCTTATCAATTTGTATTAGAGACATACATCATATTTCTCAATTCTCAGTTTCAATCAGCATATTTGTATTAAGCAATGTTAGTTGTCTGAGCGTTCCAGATTGTTGCATGACTAATGTTTGTTTCTTATTTGTTACCTTGAAACTGTTTTATGATTTTTGTTTATTCGTTATTCACTTGAGATTAAATATACTTTTATCTACTTTGTCAGCTTAATTTTTTCCCTCTTTATATCAATTATTAGCTTCATTTTTTCTTTTAATTTCTGTATTCTGTTTGAACTATGGAAGATTTCAATGTAGTTTATTGAAGAGATCAATTTTTTTTTTGTATTTTTATTGATCTGTTTGCTCTTTTTTTGTTGAACCAATGCTATGCGAAAAATTGGGTATGTGTGACAAGGTTAGGCATTTTGCTTATCTAATTTGGGTGCGATTTAAGTGGCAAGATTCAAAAATTAGTTAGGCAGTTATTGGGTTTGGGTATTATGAAATATGATCGTGTTAAGAGTATCAGTACCCAAGATAGTGGAGTTCCCTCCCGTTGTCATTCCTAGGTTCATCTGCAAGAGGCTGCCACTGGTAGCACTAGATTCATATATCCTTTTTATATCTGAACGGAGCCGTGAGCCAATTGAGTGTTATATCAAACACATTCTCTTTTGAAGCCCTAGTTTGCTTCAGGATTAGCATTTTCTTGGGTTCTGGCTATTTATCTTGGATTTTAGAGATTAAAAATATGTTAATTTAGATCATGATCAGTTTCTTGGTGTTTGTCTCAATGATAACCACATTACATATTTGTCTTCATTTTGATGTATTTGTAGTCTCAATGATAAGCGCATTACATGTTTGTCTCCAACTTTGTAACATTTTTGTACTAAATCGTGATTCCCATGACATGACCTTCTGCAGTGCTGGTACGCTTTCTAGCTGATGAGTTCCTTCTGTCGATAGCCATCAGCCTGGAAATAAATTTTACTTATTTTATCAACAGAAAATTTGTTTGGTCATGGATTAGTCTGATTGTGAGGACACAAAATGGTTGTTGGACATGTTATATTTCCATCTACTTGCAGTATTTCCTTATAAAATAAAATTAATGTTACATTTCATGCATGTTAACCTTGCAGCAAAGATGTTAATCACAGTATCATGAATCTCCATTTCTTATAAATTTTTTCTTTTGCCTAATTTTAGTTCACTTTTGAATGTTAAATGAACAAAAAACTTCCCAGACCCTGCAGTGGTTCAGTCGGCAAATGGATGGGAAAGCCTAGGATTCCCAAGTGGACATAATATGTACTTGCTGATAGCGAGACCTACTAATAAAATTGTACCTTTTTATTTTTATTCAGATGTCTAAGGATGTGGAGGATCCTGTAAACAATGGTCCTGAAGTCTTAGCTCTCTCAGGTGAAGCCCAAGAAACATGGCATAATTATGTACTAAATCAAGTATCTGTCTATGGAATGGCCGCAAACAGCACTGCCCCGTCCATTCCATTGATTGGGAACTTCCCGTTGCCACTGAGGTTCGTCATCAACCATTCATCATTTTGCATAGTGAGGAAATCTGAAAGCTCATCATTTTTTACAACTCTTCGCCATAAGTCCAAAGCAAATGGACATCGACGAAAAGAGCGTGGGTCATGTCCTCGTCCTGGTAAGGCATAAAGGGCAGCGAGCCAAAGCAGCAATATGGCGAAGCTGCCTTTTCTCATTGGTCAATAGTCTTCCACGTAGGGAGAGACAAAGAAAAACACGTATTCTCTAGGGTACATGAAGTGACCAAATTCTCCATCTGTCCGATGATCCGGTCGACGTACCAGGCGATAAGGCCTTGTAAGCTGACTTTACACTGAAGGCATGTTTCGCCTCTAATATCCAACCCGGCACATCCTCACCGAGCCTTGACACCGGAGGGCACACAGCAGCGATTCTATCACATATCGGCCCTGGAACGCAATCACACAATCTCTCCCAGAACCATGCCCCAGACGGTGTAATCATGGAATCCACCGGTACTGATTGTGGATCATCGTTATATATGCAGTGATTAACCAAAGGCCAGTTTCGTCGAGCCAAAAGTCATTCCTAGCCCCATTCCGAATATTTCAAAAAATGTTCTTACGAATCTCCTCCCAAATATAACTTAATCCCTTCCAAAGGCGTGAACAGCGTTGTCGATCAATAGTCGAAGAGATTCCCTCAGCTCATCTATACTTGATTTTGAGCACTTCAATCTATAATTTGTCCTTCCTTTCAACAACTTGCATGCCAATCTTCATGAGAAAGGATTTTATTCTATAGGAAGTTATATGATGTGGTACCAACATGAAGTTAAAAAATAATTTTAAAATTCAATTAAAAAAATAAAACATTTTAAAATTTAATTATAAAATTAAGACATAAACTAAAATTTAAAATAAAGAAACGAACACATAATCAAGTAGACTCAATACTTCAATTTAATTCAACTGTAAAATTGAAGCACTGATAATAACGGTACGGTACATTTGGAATAGTTTGCCCTTTAGTAGATTACCATTCACTACAACTATTAGTCATTGAAATCAATTTTCAAATAAAATTATTTAATGATTTTACAGTGACAATCAATCTCAAATACTATTTTTCCAGATCGACAATCATTTTAAATTTAAGTTTATCATTAAGTTCTATTTCAAGAATTTCAACAGGCTTACGTATTTATGCCGTGTTCTGATATTCGTTTTTTTTTGTGGGGTAGTCTAATTAAACTCGGAACTCAAAACCATCTTCATGCAGTTAAATTTGTAATCCATAAACTCATAAACATGGCATTAAGGCTACAAATCCTTGCATTATTCATCGACAGATTTTTAAATTAAACAAAGAAAAGGGGATACACTGAACTACAGGATTATAGAGAGAGAGAGAGAGAGGAAGATCAGGCCGACTTCATAGTGGTTCTTCCATGTAAACCACTTGCCGCGGGGCATGCTCGTGTTCAAATCCTGCAAACAAGAAATCAAACAATTTCACCATTAAACCGATACCGTCAAAATAAAGTTGTAAATGGCATTAGATCTCGAGTTCGATTCGGAACAGCCCTCGATTTAATACCAATTCAAACATAGTGTACTCAAAGAAAATTTTCAGAAAATGTAAAAAGAAAAGTAACTTACCCTCTTTCAAAGCTCATCTTTGACAGACTCTTGATGGAGAGTTCCGTCCCTGTTCTTTTCGATGAAGTCGATGATGTCTTCTTTGGTCCTATCACCCTCATATGGGGTTATATTTCCATTCACTGATCTGAAGTAAACAGTTGGGAAACCCTTCACATCGAAACTCCCATCCAATATATCATTTGCTGTTGCATCCTACAAACAAGCCCATGGATCAGACTAATCTTCCCAACAATAACCTAAGAACATATATATATATATATATAGGAATATAGACCCTAAAAACCAATGAGGCTAACTAAGAGCTTACAAATTTTGCAATCATAACATCGGCATCTTTTTCATAATGGACGGCTACTTCATCCAAGATTGGTGCCAATTTTTGGCAATGTCCACACCAGGGGGCATAAAACTCAACCAGAACTGCATATTCAACAGTAAGCAAATTATTGGAGTGTACCCAAACTACAGGCAAAGATCAACAAACCATGACCACCAATAAGGGTTTCAGCAATTCTACATATCCATCATGGTCTCAAGCTACAAATTAAACGCACCGTTTTTCCCGGATTTGAAAACCATGTCTTGAAGGGTTTCAGCAACCACCACTTTCACAGGTTCATTATTCTCCTGGGGAATAGGTTCGGACTTCACATATGGTGGAACTTTCCCTTCCTACAGAAGAGTACTTTGGTGAGCAAAGCAGAAAAACAACCACTAATAGACTGCATGCCACACTATGAGTGGTACCCTTCACTAAATTCATTACATAACCAGTATGATTTTCAGAATTGTGAGATTCTACATAAATTTTCAGCATAAGGATAAATTTTATCATCGGTGCTGAGGATCAATACATTAAATGTAGTGCAAAAATTACCATGTAATCCTTCACAAATGGTGCAATGTCGTCAGCCTTCACAGTGGGTTTAAAATACTTCTTTCCATCATTATCCATAATGATTATTAGAGGCACTTGGCTTTCTTCAATTCCAAAATACTGCTTTCCAAACAACAGAAGAAAATTAAGACTCAAGTAAAAAATACAATAAACATACGACCGTATTTGAGTAGAGATCCTAACCTGGAACGCAGGTCCGCTAACCTCGACATCACCCAAAAGGAAACTAATGCCCTGTTCTTTGTATTGCTCCGCAACTTCACGATATTTTGATTTCAATGAATCAATACCTTCAGTGCTCAGATTAGCAAACAACATAGCCTTCCAGATTCGAAAGTCATGTCAGTAGATGCACTTAAAGGATGTATTGGAAATTTCTTTCACCAATTAAAAAAACCAGGTGATAACTAAATTTCAGACCATGGAATTTACCTTCACGTTGGGACTGTTGTAAAACTTGGCAACAAAGGGTTGATTGCTTTCGTCACCGTTAAATAGAGTGACAAGAGGAATGCTAGAATCTTCAACAAGCTTCTCTAGTGCTTCCAGTTTAAAATCCTGAAAAAAATTAGCTTCTGTAAAATAGCTCACTGTAAATGGTGCAGAGGTACCTAACAACAGAAATTTAAATCAACTGTATTTCAATGATGACATATAAAACTTTCAACATTCCAGTTACCTTAAAGTCAACAAAGAGTTCATCAAAAGGCTTGAAAAGTCTGACCACAGGGCCAGCAACCGATGAGTCACCACGGGGAAGGTGTTTTGCGTCCAAAGTATGACCAAAATCATAATCAGAACGTAACTTCTCAGCAAGTGCCATGTAGGTATCAAACTCTTCACCAGAAAATTTTGGGAACACCCCAACCTAAAAAAACACATACAGACATACCAGCCAAGCTAAATTTTGTCATAAAAAACCAATGAAAGAAGAAGAGCGAAGATTTCTCAGAGAGCTTACAACTACAATCTTCTTGTCATCAATATGTTTAGTGGCATCTTCAGCAGAGTTGATTTCAGCAGAAGCAGGACCGCTCTGTTTCTTTAAATACTCCACGATACCATCGGCTTCACGTGGACCTTTGTATTCCTGAACTTTCTTCCCTCCATTTCTCAAAATTTTGAGTGTGGGGTAACCCCTGACATCATATTCACTTACTAAATCTCTGTTTGCTTCTTCATCGGCATCAACTTTAGCTAGAAAGACTGGAGGGTCGTGTTTACTCAAAACGGATGCTGCTTTCTCATACTAGACAAAAAACAAAAATTTTAACCAATTAAGCGTATGAATTATCAACAAAATATTAATATTTCCTGGAAAAACCTATATTGTTTACCTCGGGAGCAAGATGCTTACAGTGACCGCACCTGATAACAAAAGGAAAGATGATTACTTAGTGATTAATCATGCAATCCCGAGATCATTCCCCGATCTCAAATCTTGTTACTCAAATGGAAAATCTCAAACAAAAATGAACCGGAAACAAACCTCAGAAAAATAGTTATGTCTAATTTTGCATCGCCATTTTTTGAATTTATAAGACAGACTCCTTAAATTCAAAATCGTCTACAAATATCATTGCATGCACTTTAAGAAAACAATTTTTCTTCTTTTCTAAAGATATATGCAAAAAATTAGAGGGGGAAATGGAAAAGCTTACCAAGGAGCGTAAAATTCGACGACCATAAAATTGTGCTTACTAACAGTTTCAGTGAAGTTGGTGTGATCCAAAGTCAAAACGAACTCTTTCTCTTCCGATTCAATGCTATCGTCGGCTGATATCGCCGATAAAGAGCATAAAATTCCGGCCAAAACAAACCAAACACAAACACTCCTCGCCATTGTCGCAGCTCCTTTTATGTTTTCTTTTTTCGTTTCCTTTGCGTTTTATAGACTGGATTTATAAGGAGCGACAAGGGAGTTAGGAAGTGAACGACACACAGAAAATGGTAATTTCTAGGTCACGCCCTCGAGTATGGGATTACATGGTACTCGCCCTTCTGTGGGGTTGAATCCCACGTGGAGGGTTTTGATTGGGGGAGATTCGTCATTCTAAGCGAGTCGTGGTTTTGATAGGCATTAGCGACACTTGCGGTTGAAGTGCGAAAAGTGTGAGTGCCAACCCCGTGGCTAAATCAATAAAAAAACGACATGTCACTTTTATTGCATTTCAATTGGCTTCAAGATTTTTACGTTTCAAGCTTTTGACCGTATTGGATACTAACAGCTCCGTACATAGATATTGAATAGGCTTAAATTCACATTTGTTCGTAATACCTTGTAAAGATTTTTCGAGACGTTTTAATTTTTGAAGTTTGAATTATTATCTTATTTGTCTTAAACCATTAATTCTATTAAAAATAACATAAGTAAATTGCATATTTAGTTAATCAACTGTTTTCACGGTTTTATTTTCGTTACTCAATTATTTTTCTTTCAAAATAATCACTAAACTTAAGTTTTTGTTCTATTTTATCACCTAATTTAATTCAATTTATTTTTTTAATTTGTAACATATAATAATTCATTTATATCACATATATTTTTACTCAACAGATACATTTAATTTATAATAATAAATAATAATATTATAATATAAATAATAAATAACATATTAAATTATTTATACTTGAAATTTTAATAAAATAAATGTTAAATTAAAATATCATAAATATTTTAATAAATAAAATATTTTAATAACTACTATGTATGTACTATTTTTCAATGACGTTTGCAATTATACATCAAAACATCATAGTCACTAATAACATTAATAATCGAGTTTGGATTTTTTTTTAATTCCCTGATTTGATTTCCAACCACCTTAGGTCGTTTCTGGGTAAATTACGGGTATATTACAAATTTAATAACTAATCTTTATTATCACCCGCTTTACTTATTAAAAATAGTCCAGTTCGAAATATAAGATTTAAATTTTACTAAACATATAAATTTACAAATGAATAATGATTTGTTCATATTTTTATTTCTTAAAATATTTATGATATTTAATTTAACATTAATATTATTTTTATTAAAATTTCAAGTACAAACAACTTCATATATTGTTTATTATTTACATTATAATATTATTTATTATTATAAATTAAATGTATATGTCAAGTAAAAAATATGTGATATAAATAAATTATTATATGTTACATATTTTAAAAAATAAATTAAATCGAATTAGGTGGCTAAAATAGAACAAAAACTTAAGTTTAGTAATTATTTTGAAAGAATAGAATTGTGAAAATAGTTGAGTGACTAAAATATATAATTTACCCATGTTATTTTTAAGAGAGTTAACATTATGAGACTACGATTTAAACTTTAAGGAACAAAATATCTCGAAAATTGTAACTCGATATAAATGGCATACTTTAAGGTGCAATGGTACATTTAAGTCTATCTAATATTATCCATGAAATATAAGGTAACATAAGATTCAGTTACACAATTTTTTATTTATTTTACAACTAAATTAACTTTCTTTTATAAAAACGTTATTTTTAACTTTTTAACTTTAGTCTTTTTTTACATATATATTGAACTATTATCAATGAACTTATTTCTATATAAGAGAAATTATAAAAATAAATCATTTTTATAATTTATTATTTTCAATTAATGGTAATATTTTATTTATTTTAAAAACTAATAATTAAATTATTAAAATTAAATATAGAAGATAAAATTATCTTATAATTTTAAAATTATCATGTCAATATTTAATCATAAAATGAATAACAGATAGCGGTTAATAATTATTTTAAATTATTTAAAATAATTATAAAGTAATATCTATTTAGAAAACAAATGTTGTACAATTACTTAAATCTAAATCTAAAAAAAATAATATTTTTACCACTAAAACCATTTAATAAAATTAAAATTAATTTTTCTTAATAAAAATAATAATATATTTTATTTTATTTTTATTTCGATATATGTTTATTGTATATAATTTTCTAATGTAATTACATGTTAGTTTGAAAAAATATAAATATTTTAAAGCGGTATGTAGCAACTCAACCTCACTCGCGCGTCCCCTTCTCAACTCAAAATTTATTGAGTGGACCCAACCTCTCAAGTGCATGTTTTTAGTATGCATTAGGGTTTTAATGGCTTATCAACAAAATGTGGACCATTCACTCACACACTACATACCTTGTGATCATCTCTAAAAGGAATTTACATAAAGGTTTTTTTAGTGATGTTTTAGGTTTTGATGTTCAGTCTAAGGGAATCCCTCTCCACCATGTTCTGAAATGAGGCTGTGAGGTTTGTTTGATAACAGATTGTACACTACTATGTTTAGATTTTACTTTTTGACTTAAAAGAAAAAAGATGATGATAGAATTAGGTATGAGTATGAGAATCTAATAAATTTTGATTTAGTTCGGTTTTATAAGACTATTTAAAATAAATAAATTTGGAACGAATCAAATTTTGTGAAAGATAAAATAAGATTGAGATTAAGTTTAAGATAACAAATAAATGATCCAAGATAATAATATAACTCCCTCGTATATATTTAGAAATTATTACTATAACATATCTCTATATTTTTTCAATTACCTCTTATTACCTAATGAAAATAAAGAATACTCTAATGCTCTGCTTTCTATTTTGGATAAACTAAATAAATGATCACTTTCGTATGAGTTTTATAAACTTCTCCTCACTGAATTCAGAAAACATAAGATTTGGTCACTTTCGTTTCATTTTAATTAAGATTTGATCACTTTTGTTTCGTTTTAATTAAGATGTGGTCACTGAAGGTTAATGACCGTTAAACCTTTAACGATTTGCTGATGTGACACGATAAATATATAAAATTAAAGTTGCATCATTTCCTCGTAGACAATACATAGATTAAGTTTTGATCACTTTCCTTTCATATTTGTATACTTATGCTCTCCAAATTCAAAAAACATAAGTTTTGATCACTTATGTTATCGTTTTATTAAGTTTTGATCACTTGGACGTTAAATGCAATTAGTTTGATGATGTGACCTAATAGTAAAGTGGTTTAATTTTTATTTTAATACTAATTTTGGGTCTTTTTGTAAATTCAAATTAATTTAGAGATATCATTTCAATTTACTCATTTTTTTAATATTTTCTCCACGGCCCCCAATATTGCTCATCTTCTCTCCACTTCGTCTTCAAACATCTTTGTTCCATTGCAATAGCATTCTTATTTGAAGTCAAATTAGGTGAGTTCTCAGTCGTAATAAAATACATAAAAAAAAGTAATGAAGATCGTGAAAAATGTAGAGAATTCACCGTTAAACCTCTGAAAAGTACACCACCACCATGACAACACCGCTTCGAGTCAAGAAAATTAGAGCTTCTTCAATGGCGACATTATTGATGACACAATACCCAATTTCCATCTCCGATATGTAATTGACTAATGAAATCTGCGATGCGAAAGATCGTCGAGAACGTAAATCGCATTCGAACATGATGTGGCGGTGAGTTATTCAATTAGATCGTAGCGGAAATAAAGTACTCGGAGGCCGACGCAGTGGTAGTGGTGTGGCAAATCACGCAGGTTGAGGGGTTAATATTGATTCATGAGATCTAGAATCAAAAAATAACTTATGCTCGAGAAAAAAAAATGATGTTAAAAATCATGGATTTTGGATTGAGTTCAGTGGATGAATTCACGGATTAGTTATCGAATTGTTTGGATCCATTGATTATGTTTCCCCAAAGGCGCTTTCTCAATAAAAAATCACCACGAAGAGTGATATTCGATTATCGAGTTATCTGGATCCATTAATTTGTCTTCTTATTGCTTGTTGGATTTGCCATTTTACAGTCTCAATCTTTGGAAAATAAATTTTAGTTTATATAACTGAGATTACCCAGCTTCATTTTATCTCTAGATGCATACCCTCTCATTTTTTTCTCTGAACTTGTGTTATTATTTGTTATCGATAGTTAGAAATCTTTCATTATTCTTGAAATGTAGTATGATTCCTTGAAAGAAGGCAAATGAAGTAATGGAGCAAAGGTGTCTGGAGAAGAAACAGGGAGGAGATGGACAACAATGAGGTTGAGAAGTAAACCTATTAAAAATGGATAAATTGAAATGGTCCCTAAGCTAATTTGAATTTACAAAAAGACACATAATCAACCTTTTGTCTAAAATGTAAAGGTTAAAATAAAAATTAAACAATTTTACTAATGGGTCACGTCATCAAACTAACGACATTCAACATCAAAGTGACAGGAACTTAAAAAAATGATAACGTAAGTGACCAAAATTTATGTTTTTTCAAATTTAGTATGCAGAAGTGTACAAATATGAAAGGAAAATGACCAAAACTTAATAAATGCATTATCTACGTGAAAATGATGTAACTTTAATTTTATATATTTATCGTGTCACGTCAACAAACCGTTAAAGGTTTAACGACTGTTAACCTTCAGTGACTACATCTTAATTAAAACAAAATAAATCTTATGTTTTTTCAATTCAATGAGAAAAATTTTATAAAACTCGAACAAAAGTGACCATTTATGTAGTGTACTCTGTAATTATCTATTATACCTTTTTTTTTACTGAAAATAGGAAAAATAAATTAATAGTTCTGGTCGGTCTGGATAAAAAGGAATTTTAATTCTAAAATTTGTTAAATTTAGGACAAATGAAAAACCTCTAAATATCATATTAGATCAAATTCAACTATTTTTTTTTTAATTTTAAACTAAGTTTGAATTGATTAAAATTATGATCCTATCTAACCCAAATTATTTCGCAATGGACTCTACTATTATAATAATACATTTACTTTTTTATATACTATATAATCTTTAAATAAAATCATTAACATCACTTATCATAAAATTCATA